AAACAACATAGTAGGATTTATTAAACCATTCTTTTTTTCAACAAGGCTGTATGCAACATCAATATATTTTTCCTGAAACTTATAACACCAAAGTCTTACAAATGTTAATATCAAACTTTACTGTTTGATGTGTAAATAAATAAGAATAGTGTGGTATATTAGTGAATTTTCCTTTTTTTATTTTATTCAGACGGCTTTGTTTGAATTCAAGATGCAGTAACATTTTCGCATCTTTCCAAGACATTCCTAATGCTTGCAGTTTTGACTCCTTTGAAATTGTTTCATATGCATTGAATGAGAATGATTGATTTAAATATTTCTTGTGAATAGATTTCACCCTTACATATTACAATGAATCATTCTGAAATAGAATACTCTTCAAAGGTTTTTCCATTTCAATTTCTATGTTTTCTTAGACTAAATTCAATTTCAATTCCATGCAAATGAAGCCACTGACCGACCATTTTCTTACCATGCCTAAATTCACAAAAAAATTAATTTTTTTTTCTGCTTATTCTGCCTAGCATTCTTTTGCATTTTTTCCCCTCATTGTCACATCAGCACTCCACTAAATTTTCCCTATTACGAGACAGTGGAGTATGTGTACTACTATGAATTTGGAAGTGATTTTTGTAAATATTATAATTATGTGGTGTGATATGCTTTCCTTCTGAAGTTGATTGTATGACATTTGCCTTCTGTCATTGCTACAGGTAAGGCAGGTTGTTGGTTGTGAACATTATGTTTTTGTGTGCTATAAAAACTTGGTTTGCTTTTGATTTTTCTGGCTTTTTTTTTCATTCTTAAAGAACAGATTGATTTCTGAATGAATTGATTTCAATTTGTTTTTAACCATTATCAGTTATTATTATAAAAAATTAAAAAGAATTGATAGTGCAGATTTGGATTGGTTTGATTTTATTTTGATTTTAAGCTTTGAAAAGCTAAATAAAATATACATGTTTGGATTCAGATGAGTGAAATTACAGCTTGATGTGTCATTTATGGCATGTAATATTTTGTTTCCTAGTTATTGTAAGTCAAATGAACAAAAGAGAACTGAAAAATATATCCATTTAAATTGAATTCAGCTAAGGCGGATGAGTGTCTTCACCAGACAGGATGCGAAACGAATATATCGGTGAAAGGGTTGGTATAGCTCTAGTGATAAATAGGATTAGAGAGAATCGTCTTGGATGGTTTGGTTTTATTAAACGTTGATTATCTTATAATCCGGTAAGGAGAGTAGATGTTTTGGATTTATGTTAAAAAAAGAGGAGGTAGACCCAAAATGACTTGGGCATACTATATAAAAAATAATTTTAATTTATTCGAATTAAATGAACATATGATGCTCAATAGGACATAATGAAGAAAAAGTATTCATGTAGCCAATCTCACTTCGTGGGATAAAGGCTTCTTATTGTAATACAAACCACAAATTTTTCTTAAATTTGGCTGAAAACTAGGTTGAGCTGAAGTTTATCTAAACAACTGAGTTTGGTTCCTTCTTTGATTAGCTTGGTTCTGAATTTCTTCATTAGTTGGTTAGGATTGGTTCTAAATTATGATGGATTTGGTTTAGCGAACAATCACAATGTGTGACAAGCTGAGTATGATAAGAAATAGGCTATGGACACAGTATCGTGATCAATGGTTAGTGTAATTATCACAAAAAATAGACATGTGTGACGTTAAGGCCGTTAATGATCCGATTTTATGCAAAGCTGACGCCGGCTCAAAATCGGCTTTAAAAAAATTTGATCCACAATTTCAGCTCTTAGCTCGACTTGTTTATTTCAATATGAGCCAAAATTCAAATCAATTTTCGAGCTATTAACGATCTTAAGAGTTAAACTCCCAAAATTCACAGGCCTAACATCGCTAGGGCTGTTACAATCCAATTTCTAGCCTCAACTTGAAAAAAATTTGATTAAAAAATTTTAGCTTGTAGCTTAACCTGTTTATTTCAATATTTTCTTGATCTGAGTAAAAATTCGAAACAAATATCGAGCTATTAGCGATCTTCCAGCTAAATTCACAGCTCTACGTGAGATAGAACATCACTCTTGGGTGGCATGTCACAATTTATGTTAATTGTGGTGAAAGTGAAGAGTTGACTAAGACTGAATATATGATTTAATTTGTTGTAGGAGATTTGGGACTTGGTGCAAGAAAATCAGAAATGATTAGAAGAAAGATAAGTATTACTTATTTTATAAAAAAAAATTAAATACAAACAAGATAAAGAATGAGATTATGTAAGATTACAAGTTATTTTATATTGAAATGGTCAATTATTAGATAAATGTTGTTATGATAATTATAAATTAAAAAAAATGAATATGATCATGTTTAGGAGATACAAGTTTGATTGTAAGAAAGTTTAAATTTAAAAGCAATAGGTGAATTACTTCCCCGCCCTCTCTCCCTCTCTCTCTCTCTCTAGAAGATTGAAAGGAATGTTATCAAGCAAGTTAAGACAATATAGAAAAAAAATCTAGTGATTATTATTAAGTAAAATGCATTAAAAATTAAAAATGAAGATCATAAAAAAATAGTTAAAATTTAGATAACAAAGTAAAAAATAGCAGTAGTATTTTGAGAAAGATTTAAGTGAGAGTTCTAAGAGAAAAATATGAAAGACCAACATGAACACTGTAAGTATATTGTCGATTGATCTAAAGAAATTTTTTTCGAGTAAATTTACATCTAAAAAAAGCACAAGAAGGGTTGTATTGGACTTGAAGGCCGATATTATTGCTTATGGCAATTTATGATGAAGAAAGTTTAAATTTCAGAGGAAGGATTGCATCGGACTTGAAGGTCAACACGTATAGCATGGAATAGGAGGGTGGCAACCCATATGAAACTAATTGTAACTTTCAAGGGAATGAGTGCCTCGGACCAGAAGGTCAATGCAGATAGTGTAGAATTGTTGGGCATACAATATGTTATTTGGTGTGCCCACAAAGCTTCTGAGAACTAAAATATGTAAAGTTTATAAATGTAATTTCTAAATTGTCATGAAGTGGAGGTTCTAAAGAGTTTGGATGACTTATTGTGAAAAAAGTTGTTTGCAGTTGCTCAGCTGACTGATGGAAACCTTCCACTACAATTTTATTGAATTTTCATAGTAGTTTGTATTAAAATTAATCAAATTAATAAAAATACAAATTTATCCTAAGTTAACATTAAAATAAAAGTCAATTAAATAAAATTATTGAAGTCTAAGAATTGACTTAAATCACATAAGTGAAAAGTACATTAATAGATATATAGTGAATTTTGATAGTTTTGAAAACAGGTTAGGATAATTTTGTTATTTTCTTAGAAATAATTATTGAGATTTAAAAATCCATATTATATATTATAATGTTCCTTAAGAAACAATTTGAATGAATCTTTGAATATTTAGGGATGTCAAGAGATTGAATAAGAATATATTTACCAATATTTAGTAACAAAAGAAATATTCAAATTTATTTTGATCATAAATGATCAAACTTATAAGTCATGCATGAAAGTTATATAAGAGTAATATGACCAAGAGAATTACATCAATTTTAGAGGAAACATGTAATTTAATGCTTTGTGGTTTTACTATCAAAATAAGTTTTTCCAAGTCAATTAATAACAATAGTATAAAAGGCAACATAGATATGTTTTTTTATCAATTATGAGAAGGTAATTGGTCTAGTAACATCATAAATGATTTAATATGCAATAAAACAAGTGTTCCTTATGGCTATGTTGACATTATTGAAGATAGATATGATAGAGCACTTACTAACATTTTTTTTTTTTGGAAATAAGCACTTACATTAGATGCATTTATTGAGAGAATCAAATGTTTACTATTAAATTCATATTTTTAAATTGATTAAAAAAAAGCTTCCAAAGGATATTCCAAGAGGTAATAACTATGTATTTGTTAGGTATGACTCATATACCAGATAAGAGACAGATGCTGGAGCGGAAAAAAACGAGCCAGCAGAGCAGAGCGAGCGACCGTAGCGGAGCTAGCAAGCAGAGTGGAGCGGAAACATCTGTCTAATTGAGAGAGTTACGTTATGTGAGTTGGAGGTGCGGGGGCAACGCCCCTGCGGTATGGTACAATGGTAATTTTATAATTACATATTGTACACCAGAGCTATATCTATCCGTATTGTAACCCGAATAGACATTCTGTTCTCTTTTTCTGAATTGAAAGAAAGTTGTCGCTCTGCTCTAGAGGACGTAGGCATCTTTGTCGAACTTCGTTAAATCTGTGTTCTTATGAATTTATATCAATTCCTGTTTTTCTTCGCATTAATTCCTCAATAGATTGATAACCAAGCAGTTATAGTTAGTAGAATAAATACTAAGCACCAATATATTAGAAGATATGTTTGACACTTAGATGTGATAAATTAAGTTTTTTTTTTTTTATATTAGATTTGAAAATTAAATATATATGAGATTTAATTTTTTTGAAGTTAAAGTTTGGTGCCTAAAATTTAAAATTATCATAAGAGGTGTATGGTAGAAGGATATCTTAAATAGTTGACACAAAATTTTATGAAACTATAGTTGGACCAAAAATGACAGATTTGAATGTTATCAAAAGCAGAAATATTAGGATTGGAGTCTAAAATTATTAAGAAAATATAAATTAAATAATGACTATATTAGAAATGACAACTTTAGTGACACTTAATGATGATGAAATATGACCATTTTGAGGGGCTTTTATTCTTTAAAGCAGCCATAGAAGTATTAGGATGAATACAAAAAAAAAAAAACCAGTCCAATCTCTACCATTTTCAATTCACCAGGAAAGCATGAAATCCTCAATACATAAACTCTGTGGAACCTCAGCAGATATATACAGAGAGAGAGAGAGAGAGAGAGAGAGAGAGAGAGAGAGAGAGAGAGAGAGAGAGAGAGAGAGAGAGAGAGAGAGAGAGAGAGAGAGAGAGAGAGAGAGAGAGAGAGAGAGAGAGAGAGAGAGAGAGAGAGAGAGAGATTTAAGCCATTCCTATGTTAAAAAAGCCACTCAAAATGAAAAGAAAGAAAGAAAAACTAGATGCCACCAAGCTGTTATTTTTCTCAACCATTATTTGCACAATGAACCCTCAAAGATCAATCCCACAATTCCAGTGCTGTTTCTTCAACTAAATATTCAAAGATGACATCTGCAATCTCACCTGCAGCACCATCAGCTTCAAACTGAAAATCAAACCAAACTCTACCTTCCAAATCCTTCTCCACAGCCTGCTTCAATGTGCTTGGAAACTGCAAATCCAAATTCCAGTTCAACCTTCCGCTTGCTTTCTTCCTGAAATATTTCAGTTCAGGTGTTGACCAAATGGTTGATTTCATAGAAGACACCCATGGACTGCAACCAAAATGCCTCTCCTTCATTTCAGTAAGCACCTCATCTATGGAATCAAAGAGAAGCTTTGGATCATCGAAAAACAAGCCGTAGGAGACTTCTAATTCATCAAACAACAAAGCTTCATTGAATTCTGTGCATTTTAATCCGTCTTCTTCAGAATCTGCTTCGCCTGAAGCAGCTGCAGAATTACCAATTTGACATCCTTTAAGCTGTGTTTGTGTCTCAACAATGGCTGCTTTTTCTGCATAATTGATGAAGCAAGATTTACAACATAGATATGACAGAAATCAAATAGGAAACTACTTCAATGATATACCGTGCTGTCTTATCAAGCTTGTGGGAGTGTTTATATCTTCGAAGGTGTCAGGCTCGAGAACCGATATTGGACTTGGACGGCCGGCTTTCTCTGCGGTGCAGTCAGTATCGTTAGGTTCTTGTAAGGTCACAGAGCTCAAGGGGATGGGGGTTGATGGAGTTGATATTTCAAATATTGCTTCTTGCTCCTGGGAGAAACCAATTTGTTGAGTAAAACGATACAGGCATATAAAGGATTTCTACTGATCATGAACTCACTGGCTCCAGTAGCATGGGAGTTTCCTCCTTGATTGTTCCACCAAGAAGATCATCTTCAATTTGAATGCATTCATTGTCTTTAGTTCCCACAATCTCCATAATCTCTGTACAGATTACAGAACTAGAAAAACAGAAACATGGAAAAAATTTAATTTTTTGCTGTTTAAAGAGTCTAAGAATACCTTTTTCATCTTCCTGGATTTTATCAGTGTTGGGGAAGCTCTCAATGCTCCTCAAGAGATCCAAATTTTCTGTACTATTTCTTTGTCTGGAATGATATAGAAGCGAAGAAGTCTGTTTCTGGAGAGACTCGGCTTCTTTCTCTCTAACCAGATTATGTCTTGGAGACGAGTAATCGAATCCGGGAAAAGAAAGGATTCTACCCAAGGATTTTGATACCAGAACGGGAGACGATGATTCATTTTCGCTCCCAATCCGAAGAAACTCAGCAAGATGTCTCTTCGCTTCATCACAGAAAGCAGCATTTTTGCTCAATTTCTCACGGCCAGCAGTTTGTGAAGCAATTGAAAATTCACATTTTTTTCTAATTTCTTTGGTATCTGATCTCCTTTGTTCGCCATGTTTAGTCTGATCTCTTCTGCAGAAATTTTCATTCTTTCTGGATATCTGTTCACCATATGGAATATTATGCATGATGCCATCCATGGCAATTCTATGCTTTTCCTTCTTGCTTGTTCCAATTACATTTCTGAACCTCTTCCTGAATTCTTTGAGCGAAAAATGAGATGAAGATCTCTCTCCACCTTCTTCATTTCCAATATTACAAAGTGATCGAATAGAAGCAGTTGGAGCTACTGTATACGAAAGTTTTTGATTTCTCATCTTAGCGGGCTTCAAAACAACAATTTTATTTGGACCTTTCACATCATCTCCTTCATTTTGTTTCTGAAACTTCTTTGATTCCCCTAACAACTTCTTCTGGTTGGATTCAAAAGATTTACTACTAAGCTGAACATTCTGAAGTTCTTGAATATGCTTTCTGATAGGTGAGTTTGGATCTTGAAGAAGCTTGAAGAACAGCTCCTTATTTAAATTTAGCATCTCTAACACATCAACTATGCCCTTTGGTTGATGAAACTCTATGTTCTGACTCAAGTTGTTAGAATTCTCCCTTAGAAAAGCCTCAGTTAAATCAACAATGGCCTTCTCAAGAATACTCACAGATACATTGTCCGTCTTATTTTCAAATTCAGACTGTTTTCTTTTGCAATATAAGCCACTGTTGCAGAATTCTAACATAAATTCGCCTAGTTTTAACTCAGACGAATGTATAGTCGACACACTGGGATAATCAGACTGCTGCGATATCGAACTTGGAGAAGAAATTAAATTATTTTCAAAGCCAACTGCACCATTCATAGTTGCTTCCTTATTATTCTTCTCAGGATTGACTCCAATTCCAAACTCAGCTTTTATCCATTCAAGTTTTGAATCGAAGTCCCTCCTTGAGTAATGTGCTCTCGAAAGCTCTTTCTTCCTCGGCATGTCGAACGAACCCGCATTACTCTCAGCTTCAGTATCCTGAAACAATGAGGATCAGATAACAGTTCAAGTTCCAATTCGCTGCAGGATAAATGCTATTAAGAATCAATATTAGAGAACTACAAGTTTTTTTTTCCCCTTCCCGCACAATCATGTAAATTGGCTGCTATTTGCTTGTAGATTGATGAAAATGCTAACTTACAGATATGTGGGTTATACTACCAACATCTCCATCACTTTCATTTATATTACATGGGAGACCAACTTTGTTTCTTGTATATCTAATGCCTGCAAAAGAAAATGAACAACTGAAGATAAATGAACAAGAGAATTAAAATATCATGATGAGAAAATTTTTGTTTTTAAGATACATATGGCTGTAATTCTTAATAGAGCTGTTAGGCAAAGCAAGATTAGTAGTCAGAGTGAAATAACAGGAGTAAAACATGATTGTAATAAACCTAGAAGTTGAAGAATAGTCAACAAGTATATAAAACAATGCTAAAGGAAGATCATTAGCAAATCATTATTTTCAAAAGATAGAAAAATATATATCATACATCATTTATCATACAATTATGTCATTTTGTTAGGACTCCTTTTATATTCAAATATAGCAGCACATATTTTTTTTTTTTCTGATAAAATGTCAAAATGGCCCCTAAACTACTTGTATAGAGCCTTTTTAGTCTAAGAAATCTAATGTATTGAATTAGTCTGACGATTTTTCAAATATGATACAAAGTTTTTCCTTTGTTGGAATATTTTGGATCAAAATTAAGAATTAAAAAAAAACTATTTTAAAATAAATTTTAGAAGTTATGGGATTAAATTGGTCACATTAAATAATTTGGGACTAAAATGACCTCTGATAAATAGTATAGAGACAACTTTAATCTTTTTTAGTTTCCCTTTGTAATAGGAGGGGAGATTTTGGAAACTTATTCATTCACTATAAATACCTATTTATAGGTGTACATGAGAAATATAATAGAAAATAATAAATAGGAGCTAACCATAATGAAGGGAGCCATATTAATATTCCCTAAAATAATATAAAACTCTGACAATATTATCTTCCTAGCATGCATCATTTGCCAATATGGGATTCTAGTGTCATGGAGAAATGATAGGAGAGAGTGTAGAGAGAATCATTGGTCAAATAGTAGCTGTGACCGGCTTTACTACCTCGATCAATCATTTTTAACTCAAACTAAGATCTGAAAGGCATAATTAGAAAAATAAAAGGTTGTTGAACAATGATATATATCAGTGAATAAATAATAATTTTATTTAAATGGTGGGGAATAAATAGAATTAGATAGACAAAGAATTTGAGAGATATGCAACACTCCGTCAAGAAATAAGAAAAGTTAAACCATCAATATAGCCATTGTGGAGTAAAGAATTCTATATTTTACCTTTTAGCCTAGCTCCAATATCATATTATCAGGAATATTTTTGTTCTCATTTATTGAATATATGTGCCTGTTTATAAGCATACAAAACGAATACAATAGCAAATAAATGAGGAGAATAATAACACTTCAAGAGGAGTAAATGAATATTTTCCCCACATCAAAAACATTCCTATTACTAATTTCCTAACGATCTCCATATGCTGACATATATGCTGACATCATGAAAAGGCATGACATCATGAAAAGGCAAAAAAAAAAAAACACTAAAAACCGTTTAATTTTGGCAAAAATATCATAAATTGTAAATTGTCACATAAGTACGAAGAATTATACAGATACTACACATATTTGAATAAATGATTCTCTTGCTTATGATTCGCTCACCTAAATTTCTAGAACTGCCACATTTCTTATCTGAAAGCAACCTCTGAGTAGAACGGCCTCGGCGAAAGTCAAAAATGCTGATCAAACCCCACATACAGCCTATGTTCTCCTTTCTCCATCGTGTAAGAAGTTTGTGCGATTTCTTTGCCATTCTTAGTGCCAAGCTGCAACAGTTGGAAAATTGGAGGATAAAAGTCAAAAATAAATAAATAAATAAATAAGGGACCAGTATGATAACAAAGAAACAGAAAGAAATCAGAATTCAGCTCTATGGACAAACAAAAAATGAAGAATTTCATGATGTCATCACATGAATAACGATTTTTATTAGATTCTACTATGGAATGCACATCACAGTTTATAGTAAGCATCTGCTTCCAGAGTAGCTCTTCAAAAAAACACATAGAAACTTGTTAGAGATTAATCTCAGTTATTTATTTACCTACAGCAAAAATGAAGATTAAAAAATTCATGGCTCAAAATCACTCTTATTAAGTGTTCGAGTATTCATTTATTAATTTTCTTGATCCAACTGAAGAAATTTATGTATCATAGACTAGACAAGTCTAAAGGATGCTAACAGGTATCATTGCTCGCTCTCAAATATAAAAACATATTCTCAAAACAGATGACTTAATTTTCATTAATGTTGAGTTGATGAGTGAAAGCATACCTTTTGAAAGGTTTCAAAAAGATGTGGAATTTGAAATCAATGTTGGTGTGTAATTACATCTAAAAAAATAGTATATTTAACAAAACTCATCATTTTTCAAAACATAATTTCTAATCTCATGCAACCACATGAGGCCTGACAGATATTTCAAGCTTCAAATCACTATAGTTGGAACATAAAAGAACAACAAAGTACCTGAAATGCAACAATTCGCTACAATATGCCAGAGAAGCGTTGCAGCAGCTAACAACGCAGAACAAATGCTCGAATAACAGTATTGCTGTTCTCTAATTTCATGAAATCTATAGCCGATGATATGCTTCTGTTCTCCAAGGAGGGAAGGAATCAGAAACTTTTCTTCCTCTATATCTCTCTTCCTACTTTAATAAATAAAAAAAAAAAAAACAGCCTTGTCTTTCATCCTCACAAAACTTTCAGCATATGAATCTAAAGCAGTAACTAGAAAGTTTAAACATCCCATCAGAGCTTGAATCTCGAATCTAAAGCACAGAACTTGGACAGCAAAATACCAGATTTACGATAATTCCTCCTTCTATGATCCACTGGATGTTAATTTTGCAGCACAATAAAAGAATCTCCATGTCCTCAGTGCCAGCCATATATGATCACCCTTCTTCCCGTCTGCAAGCCAACTCAGGAAAACAAAAACTGAAAAACCAAGCTTCTTCTCTGCACAAAACTCAAGATATTATCATCCAAATAAGGGGGAAATGATCGAAATTCACCTCAAAGTCTTCACCTTTCTGTGCTCCAACTCCAATAGTTCAAAGACGCATTTCATCAAACAATTTCACGACGCAACCTTCCACGGACTTGTTGCAGGGGAATTCACCGAATGGGCACACAGCTTAAGGGGAAAGAAAGGTCAGTAGATATCTGTGAGAGAGGAGAGAGAGCTCTCCCGCGTGGGCCGCACTTTACCAAAAAATTCATTTCTCCATGAATCAAAAGCAGTTAGCATAGCCACAATTAACGCCCTTTTTCTGTCTCTACACTCCTTTTTCGTCTTTTTCATGGTGAGTAGTACTGCTGACTTTCTTTTTAGGCTTTCTTCCTCAGCGCTTCGTTTCTTCCCTTTCGGTTTTCTCTTTTTGTACGCCACAGCAAAAGTAGAGGAAATGGAATTCTCGGCAAAATTTAATTTTGACGACAGATTTAACATTTTCTTATTCCAAAAATGCTTGACTCACTCTAAAAAATCAATCTTGATCTTACCAGTGAGTAGATATGTGAACGGAATTTAAAGGAGAAATCTTTCGGCCTCGATACCAAAAAGAAATCTTTTGAAAGTATAGTTATGCATATGTAACGTCACTCTCAAAATTGAGATTATATATATATATATATATATATATATCTGTGATTTAACCATTTGAATAATAGCTTTTAAAATTCTACTTATAAATGCTATACATTTGTTAATTAAGGGACTAATTAGGTTTTTTTTTCCATTTGTTTTTAAAAAACATATTTTTTTTATTAATTTTTAACATACTTTTATTTTTTTATTTTTAAAATAAATAAACTTATTTTTAAAGTTCTAAAAAAATACTGCATCATACAAATGTCCTATTGTAGAACGAGACTCCTCATCTCCATTCTTAAAAGACGAGTTTTTCGCATTCTTGCAATGTGCCTTTTGGAGACGTTCCGAAGATATTCTATCGCCAAAACTATATTTTCCAGGTGGCGACGTTGAGTGAGATCGAGCAGGACGGATAATTCTTCTCAAATGAAGCCTAAATCTATTTAAAACAACCTTAAATTATTAGTTATCCCAAACTATTTCATACATATCTTCTTTCAAAATAAATCAAATTAAATTAAAAAAATGTATTAAAATGGTGTCAAACTGCCTCCAAGTATATAGAATTTTTAAAACCAACGTTATAATTTAAATAAATTTTGAATGTGATATAATTACATAACTTTTAAATATTTAATATTGTATTATATGAATTTAAACATCTTTAAAAAAATTAAAGGTAATTAATGAAACTATATAAACTTTTTTTATGAATTTACTTTGAATTGTATTTAAATAAATGTTCAATTAATTTATCAGATGAGAGCAAGCATAAAGTACTAGTAATAAAAGTCTTAATCAAATTTAATCTCAGGTTTTTTTCTTACAATACATTTATTTGAATTTAAGTTGCCCCCAGTCTTATATCTGAAAAATTATTGCATATATAGAGTATACTCAAACTGCATGCGCTCTCCGATCACAGCCGCACATCATCCATCTCTTTAAATATTTTTTTTTAAAAAAATTTAGCAAAAGTGGGACCCACTGGCATACATGAATGGTTGATGTGCGGCTGTGATTCGAGAGCGCACGCAGCTCTGCGTACGCTCTCCGTACGCAATAATTTTTCCTTATATCTAGTGTATGACGATACTAATATAGAAACCAAAAAAATAATATATATATATATATA